TAAATTGTCTTTAAACTTTTAATTTAAAAAATAATAATTATTATTTAAAATAAAAGAAGTATTTATTAAAACTTTTATTTTTTTGGGTACAAGGGACAGTGGGCTAAGGTGCAAAAAGCTCGAGCAAAAAGTGAAAAAATGATTTGTTGGCCATGATTATTGACAATAAAATAACTCTGGTTAACTCTTTTAGTTCTAATGAAGCATGTAAATTGATATTTACCACATTTGTTTGTCAAGTGAACCGAAATTCATATGGTATATTTGGTTTTGATCTTCCAAAATTTTAAAAAGAAAATAAAATAAAAAAAACTTAGAATCAATACTCGGTCACATAAAATTTGTCTTCAGTATAAAAACATCAAGCAACTAGCAAAATTATAACTTCATGTTTGTAATCATCCATGCCAGAAGGAATGGGTAGGTATCTGGCATTTGGCGCAAAAAAAAAGGAAATCTAGACATAATCAGAAGTTTGGAAAGGAATCTAAACAACTACTAGAGGAATTGTCAGGGTGCTACAGTGGATTTGTTTGTCTGTGGTCTAACTATTATTTTATTTTGTTTTAAATATAATTGAGAAGAAATGGCAAGATTAGATTTGTTCGATTGTTATTATTTATAATTTAAATATTTTAATACATTAATTTTTTGCATCATTATAAGGAGGATGAAAATTTAAGATAAAAATTTAGAATTAATAATATAATATAAATCACATTATTGAATCAGTTGATGCATATAATTTCATAAGTCTAAAAATATAAAATGAGTCAATTATTAAATAATATAAAATTTATTTTTTTAATATTTTAAATAACGTGATATAAATCACATTATTAATCCTCCTAAATTTTAGTTTTATTTATCATTATTATTTTTTTATATAAATGAATTAATCTAAAGACCCTAGAACTATTAACACTTGTAAGGTTTTCTCTATTATTCTTTGTACCACTTCAAAAGCCGGTTCATCAAAATAATACCAACCTGTATATAACAGGCAAGAATTTAAGAATACCCCTTATACTCTGTAGTTTCAAATAAATTTACTTTTGTAGTTAAAAAAAAAAAAAAAAACTAACCTATACCTAAGTGCTAGAGCTATGAAGCCATGGCAAATGCATATTTGTTAACCTCTCAAAATACATGTCACAGTTTATAGTGCCATATTTTTTTGGAGAAATGATCTAGATTTGTTGATTAAATTTTCATATATAAACGAGTTACACCAAATATAGTTGACCTTTTGTCCAGTTAACAAGGAATTAGATTCTACTATTACATTGCTATAGTTATTTTGCCATGCAAAATTTGAGGATGGCGAAGATTTCCGCATGCATTGCTTGACCTATGCCCCAAATTTCTTCTTGAAACTACACTGCCTGGTTCCCTCTGGCTCTTTGCAAATGCCCTCTATTGTTGAGAGACTTTAGGATCTCAGTGAAGAACCATCTATATTAATTATATCAATTAGAGGCAACAATTGATAAGTCTTTTTTTAAAAGAAAAATAAACACACCATGATATATGATTTGATACATGTTTAGTTTGAAGGATTTTGTTTTAAAGATAGTTAAGAAGAAATGGCAGTTGCAAGAGTAGATTTGTTGTTTTAACTAAGTCTCAATTTAATATGGTTGTAATTTTGAATTTTAAGTTTTAGTTTTGGTTTTCAAAATTTAAACAATCAAATTTAACAATTAGAAACTAAAATTAAAAATTAAAATTACCAACTTATTAGGTATAAAATTTTAAAATAAATACCCAAAATTCTAAACTTAATTAATTTATAGAACTATTTAATTTTATTTTGAGTTTTCAAATTTTTTTAAAATAAAAAAAAATTTTAAATTACAATCATACTAAACAAATCCTAAATATTCTAATATATCATTTTTTTTTGACATATATAAAGAATTAATATAAAGGTTTCACGCACATATAAATATTTAAGAGGTTTTTTTTGTCATTTCTTATGTTACTTGATTCAACAAAATAATGCCGAACTCATGGTTAAGTGGTAAAAGTCATGAAGTTATGGTATCCGCACGTACTAAATTCTCAAAAATCATGTCAAAATTCATAATGCTTATTTTCCTAGATGAAGGCTTGACATTTGTTGATTAAACTTTGGCATGGGTCGAAACAAGTTGCACCATGGTTGATCTTTTGCACTGACAACAAAGAATCAGACTCCACTATCGCGTTGCTATAGTTCTTTTGCGCTGTAAGTTCCATAGCTTTGAGGATGTTGCAGATTTCCACTGGCATTACATGATCCGTGCCCAATTACATGTTGAAACCAAACTGTCATGTTTCGCTGCGACTCTTTACGAATACCCCTTGCCACTGAGAGGCATTGGGATCTGAGGAACCATCTACATTAATCATATTATATGTAGTATTTTATAGTCCAATATTACCCTATTTTCTCTAAACAGATGTATACTTGTATTTTTCTTTTGAAAGAGTGATGTGTGGTTAAGACTGCAGATCAAGAATTGCTGGATGAATGGCGGGTTCCCTGATATAGAAGGTTGTTCCTCCATCCTTAGTATTGCAATTGGGTACAACCTAAATTGCAAAACATGAAAGAGTACCTAATTAATTATTAAAAGAAAAAGAAGTATGTTACTAAAAATTGTAAAAGAAACACTAAACATCTTCAAATTGGTAGTCAAGCTTAACTTTAGATTAAATGAGGTTAAATGAACTCGATTCACTAACGAGGTAAGTTAAAACATTTTCGTGTAATTAGAAACCTATAAAGATCAATCCAAGACCCAATCTAAGTATAAATTTTAGCTAGTATTTTCCCCAAAATAGTTAAATGTCATCTTCTCCGCACTGCAGCATTGGATGCAAGCTGCAGTATGCAGCTGGCTGTGCTTGTGATGCTGATTGACCAGTAGCCTGTTCCTTGGACATATTCATTGCTTGGGTTATGGCATTCATGACTATGAGTCCGAGAGGGATCAACACATCCACTACAAACAAAAGATTTAGTTAGTCTCACTCAAGATGGCTTAAACACAATACGGTAAAGGAAATTGCAACTCCTTCCCGACTTACATATTTGGCCCAGAAAGACCTTTTTGGTGGCTACACAACTTCACCCTCCCCATTCTCACCACCCAGAACTTCTTCAATGAAGATTGGAGCCCTATGAAACAAAAGGCAATGATGAAAGCAACCCTTTTGTTTTTTAGATTGAAAAAAGCAACTTAAAATTAAAATAAAATCACTATAGCGAATTTGCAAATATGATGTATAATTGTATACTATGATGATCAGCTTGGACATGGAGTGGATGCATTTAAGTTGTTTACTAAAACAAACTTGTCCATTGAGGAAGAGCTGTATCTTTTGCTCTTGAAACAGTAAAAGAAACAGGATGAGATTGCAATTTACAATCAATAAATTCTCGTTTAAGCCATGAAATAGCTTCCAATTAGATGTCAATCCATAAAACTGAAGATAAAGAAAGAGTTAATAATTTTGGGAAAATTAAAAATCAGAAAAAAAATAGAAGCTATAATATTAGATCCAAAAACAAGTGAATAAATAAGAGAATACCTTGGTGCCTGCTCATTGTTCTTTAAAACTTTGTGGGAGTTGAAGGCCCATTTAAAAGGCAGCAGTATAGGTAAAGCGAATATATATAGATACAATAAACTAGAGAAAAAGTTTTAAGACTGCAAGAAATCACCTTTAAGCTTTGTGAAAGTTCAGTTAATATTGCAAAATTAGTATGTCAAAATCAATCCTTGGTTTTATTCAGCAACACTAACATATTCTGAAAGACTAAAAGATAATAGATGTTGAATGCCATGAGATGCTCAACTACACTTGATAAGGTTATAATTGCTGAATCTTATGAACCTTAATTGACCATACTATGGTGCAAGAAATGCCATTTGCAACTGCAACTTCAAAGTGACCTAAATTTCTTGTAGATCTCGCATCCAAGACAAATGTTGGAGAAAAAAAACTTAGATCCCATATAACCCATTAAATTTAAAGTTACTATTAAATCTATGAGTTGGCAAGGTATGATCCTACACATTCCGCATTAAAATAACAACCTCAATTTAGGAAAAGATATTGTAGTAACACAAAGGGAAGTTCACATTTTAAAGATATCTGCTTAAACTAATTGTAGAATAGAACAAATGGCAACAATGACAACAATAAATTAGAGGAAAAAGCTATAATCTCTGTAGTTTGCTCAGCTAACTGAGAAACAAGAGAAAGTAAGACATAAACTGTAACTCACAAGTTTCAACTGCCGAGGATATGGACATGCCCCTGGGAACCATAATTGACTACCAAGATATTTACACCTTCTTGCACTAGCAGGGATAAAAGAGCAACAACAATCAGTCAAACTACAACAACAACTAGAAAAGGAAGTTTCATCCTGACGACCATCATATATAACTCCTCAAACAACATTTGCCAATTTTACACTGTTTATTTCTTCTCACTGTTTGATCATAGTTGCTTTTATTATGAACTCTTACTCTTAGCATTAGTCTAAAAGAAGTTGAATAATTTTCCCATAATAAAATCAACTATGTGGTCAACAGATTAAGGCAGATTGTAAAGATCCCCTCTTGAGCTTGGCTGAACATAAGTTGGTAAAGACCTTAAATCTGATAGATAACTACATGGTCAAAAAGTTTCAATCCAAAAGCAGAAAAGTAAAAGTCCATTTGACCAACAAGCTTAAGAGCTTACAAAATAGTAGCAAAATTCTCAAGAGGAAGATAATTGACTAGAAAGATAAAAAAGTTTTGAATTCGAAAAAACCTTTAAGTGGTTACCTTAATGCTTTCACTGATGTGATAATATAATCCCTTCCAGGAGGACTTAGAACCAAGGAAGTTTGTTTCGTTTCGTACTGGCTGGTATGGTCGGTACATATCGGTTTTTAGGGGGGATCGAAACGGAATAAGTTAGAATTTTGTTTTTGATCAAAATCTAGTAATTTCACTCAAATTTTGACAGACCAACCAAAATTTGGTGTACCGGTTGATACACCAAAATTTAACCGGTACATTATGCAAGAATTTAAAAACAAAAAAAAAAAAGATTCCCTAGTCGGGCAGCTTCTTATTTTAGATCATGTAAATCTCTCCTTTGTTCTCACATCTAGCTGTCCTTGTATTCTTCCATTTTTTGTATAATTGTCTGGTACAATTCAATTCAAATTTAAAAAGGGTAAATTTTATTTTTGGTCCTCAACTTTAATATTTTACATAATTTTCATCCTTTAACTCTTTTATGTACTTTTTTAGTATATTCTTCATATATATTTTTTAATTCTTCTATCAATTACTCCGTTAAGTTTATCTAAATACACACTTTTTTAATCCCTTAATTTAAAATGGATGAATGAAAAATATGCATATATTAGAAATTGAAGGATTAAAAATGATCATTTTAAACCTGTTTTTAGTTTATAGGAATATAATAGTTTTATATATTAGAATCTCTCGTTTTATTTTAAAATTTGATATTGAATTTATAAAAATATATATTTATAACGATAAATTTGAAATAGTACGTGAAAATTTTCGATATCCAATACCTACCGTTCCAATAACAAAACTAGTACACATACTGGTATGGTATTGACTCCCTTGCTCAGAACACTGGATGGGAGTCTTATCTTGTAGAAGTCATCGCCTTGAAGCAAATTTTGTAGGACAGAGAACAATACAAATGAAAGCAGTGTACAATGATTTATTGCAAAGACAAAAAAAAAAAAAAAAAAAGAAAAAAAGAAAAGAAAAAAAAACCTCGAAAATCAGGATTTCAAATAACATGCAACTACTTTGAACTTCTCCTTCTCCTCATCAGTGAAACCATTTCTTGAAAACTGCAGCTTTGTCAGTATCTGTCACAAAGAAAATTGTGTGTCAAATCCATTATCATACTTGGAATTTTCTAAAAAGAACGTCAATCCAACTGTAATTGACAAAGAATTCAGGATCAATTATGATCAATCATTCAAATCTCAACAAAAGAATTCAAAAACTTCATTGAGTTTCTGAGATAAAAGGGGGAAGAGGAAGTGTAAGGTCTTTAGTATACCCCAATTTGTACCTCAGTTTTTAAACTTTATTTTAGCAATTAAATAGATCCCTAGAACAGCAAAACAGAGCGAAAACAAACAAGAAGCTAAACTAGTAATCAGAAATGAATTCAAGATTAGCAATTTAGCATTTGCTTTTAAACCTAACATGGCCACCGTGATTCCAAGTCTTGAGGCGGGCAGAGAAGGTGCCAGCAGGAACAAAATTGGAGTCACCGAAAGCGTGCTCCAGAGAGAACTGGATCTTGGAGTTAGACTCCGACTCCGAATGCCTCTTCCGGGAGGATCTAGTAGCAGCAGGGATGGATGCGGGTTCAGGGAAGCGAGGTGGAGCGCCATCGAGATCGAACTCCTCGTCATCTAGGTGGAGCTCATCGGATTCGAATTGGAAAGAGGGGAAGGAGAAGAACGAGAGAGTGAGGAAGAAAGCTAATGTCACTCTCTTCTTCAATTTTCTGGTTTTCTGTTAGAGGAGGAATCGATGGCTTTTGTTAAGAGGGATTGATTCCTCAAAACGACGTATGACCCTTTGTCATTTCAGTTTGTTTATTGGTCTCTTAACTTTTTTTTTTTCATTCCTCATACATTAATAAAAAAATATAATGTAATTTAAATTATATCATATTACATTATATTGATTATTGAACGGATTAAATTCACTAATATTAAGAATTTTTTTTCTCATTTAGTAGTTTTTGTTTTATAATTTAATATAATTTAAATTATAAAACAAAGTTCCATACATTAATAAAAAGTCAATTTTGATTACTTTATCCTCAATTTTTTAAGTTCACATAATTGGAGGTTAAAATATAAGAAAATATGTGCAACTTCTCAAGTACAAGAAAAACTGATTCTCTAAATTACCATAAAGTCCGATTGGATGTTAAAACTATTTTATCATTTTTTTAACATCAAATAATAGGCTAGTTATACAACTTTTAATCTTTTTCACTTATCTTAAAATTTCATCTCAAAATCATTAACTTAAATTTTAAGGTTTTAACTATTTAAAACATCTACTTAAAACCTAAAATCATTAAAATTTAAAGAAATGTTAAGAGAATTTTTAAACGGAGGTTCGCTCTTAAAATTGTTTCCCTTTCTCTTTTTTTGAATGACAATTTGATTAATAATTTAGAAAGTTGTCTTATGGAACCTACAAATAAATGGGTCATAACCCGAAATTACAAATTTTTGAAAATATGCATGATTGGTAATTCTCGACAAAATTATCATCTCACCTTGCTAAGAAGTATTGTTCAATTACCAAAACAAATTCTAAATAGATCTTGTGATACCATATTCTCTTTGGTTTGTGGCAAGAAAACTCACGCAACAAATAAACTTCGAATAGCAAAATCTAAGCTTTCACTTTATTTAT